CCCCCCCCCACCCTCCCTGGTGTGGTTTCCTGGTTGCTGCCTGGGGTCGGCGAGACAGCGAGACACAGCGAAACCCAGCCTGAAACCCAGCCCGAGCATACACACACATCCCCAGCCTGGCTGTGAGTCTGTGTGGCACAGCCTCGCAGCGTCCCGCCGTCTCAGGCTGAGAAATCCGCGGGGCTGCAGCTGAGAAAAGATTGAGTGTGTGTGAGGAAGTCCGCGGATTGGTCCATTTGGGTATGGAAAAAGAAAGATCTCCAACGAGGCGTCCTGGGGCAGCACAGACAGGTCTTTTCTGTGTTAGAGTTTTACTCGCTACAGGGTGTACTTTGAGGGTTTTTGACTCTGCAGACCGTTTACATGCAGAAAAAGCTACATAACACACAAGGGGACGGCTAATAACCGGAAAAACATGACATGGGACCTTTAACAAACATAATGAATATCATAACCTTAGGAAAAGGCATACAAAAGCAGAAATACTAAAGCTTCAAGTCAGCAGAATTAACTTATGGTACTTCAGTCAGGCTATAAGGGTTCTCCCAATAACAGTAACGTAAAAAAGCTAAGTTGTGGATGCTCTTGGTCACGGCAGCTAACATCTGGCAGCAGTGTAAACAGACACTAGATTGATAGGTCCACCTGTGCACAGTCAAACATGATTCTCTTAGGAAAACATTAGATAGACTTCAACAGCTTTTCTTGAGTAAGTAGTTGGCGTGATACTGGCTGGTTTTTGTCGTTTTTTTCCTTGAAAATACCATTTTAACATCCATCTAAAGTTAACATGTATGCTGCTTTTGCTTTTAACCTGCATTATAGTTTAACAGTCTCTGATTTGAAGTAGACAAAAGTGATTGGTGGAAGATTTATTTTAGGGTAAAGAAGAAATAGGTGATTTAATTTGCCTTGGTTTTGACGAGGCATCTTTGAATAATTGAATATTTGAATAATTGAATAATAATAAAGCTTTATTTATATAGGACTTTTCATACAATACATGCAGCTCAAAGTGCTTTACAAAATGACATTTCATTTCATTTCCATCTTTATTTCGAACAGATTTAAAAAAACAAATACAAAATAATAAATGTGAAAAAAAGAATACCGTATTGTTAGAATACATATCAATTATCAATATTCATAATAATATTTATATATTCAACCAAAATATTAATAATAATAATAATAATAATAATCACAAGTTAAAAACAAACAACAAGAAATTCGCTTCAGATTATTTGTTAGGAACTTTAAAATGTAAAATGTATGATAATAAAAACAAAATAGAATAAAATAAATAATGGTTTCTCTGACAGATTTTTTAAGATTTTAGCTGAATTCTACCGAAGCAAACCTTGTTTACTCTGATATCTCTTCGATAAGATATTTCTGGTGGTACATTAAGTCCTCTTTACGAGAGGGGGTTAAACCTTTTTCTACACGAGCGGAGGAGCTCATGAAAGGCTCCGGCGCAGAGCTGTGCAAAGGAGCGCAAAGACAGGTTAAGCTTTAGAAAGTGATTGAGGCTGAGAGGAAACGGCCTTCACAGCAGCTGCAGCACCTGGCAACACATCCAACCTCTCTGCCCTGCTTATTCCCTGAATGACTCCCCATTCATCTAAGATCACTGAGGCTCCAGGTAGAAACACTTCTTTCTCCTCACCCAAAAACACCAGACAGGCTCTCTATTGATGCTATATTTATAGGGAGGTAGTTGCAGAGTGAAAGAGAAAGATGTGCCTCAAGAACTCAGTTCATCTGATGTGGACTCCTGGTTTGATTCACACTGTATCATGTTTAAGCTCTTCATAATGAAACAATGCACTGGTATCGGTTCCTACAATATTCATACATGGTTAGGGAGTGATGAGGAGCACCTTGTCGTTCATCATCGATATATGCAGTAGTAGTAAGTTTGACTCAACTCTCAAGTTGTGTTACAGGCATATCAGGCAAAACTTCACAAGTTGAGATAAAGAACAACCCTCAGTAGACCAACCATTCATCCATCCATCAATCCACACCGACAGAAAACCCACTGAAGCCGCTGTTGCATGGTGATCACAGATTGTAACACGACGTAGCCATATGGTGCACTAGTTCTCATCCTGTAAACAGTTTGTAATTATTGTAGCTGGCTGTATTATTTTAAAAAGATGTCGACACATTTCGCCGTGTAGACAGTTCAATATGGTCGAACAACTTAGGAAGGTAGTGAGATGAGGCGAAACGTCTACAGTCATAGAAACGAATAATCCTAGACTTTGCCGCACACTTTCTGACGGTATGTCTTCCAAGGGATTATTGGTGTTGCACTGAACACAAAACAAAAACAAGAAAGTAAGGGACATAAGACAAAAGAAAACCTGAGAGACCTGTAAACTCAGGCTTCTTTCCGTCTGCGCACACATTTTCAGAAAAAAAACCCATACAGTATGCATGTCAAGTTCTTCTGGGTTTTGGCCTGTATTCAGTGTTTTGCCCAAACTTGAGAGGCTGGAGGGCTACAGAGGACGCTTGGACAACTCAGATTCTTTCTTTTGGTCTTTATTTTCTGCTCAGCAGTTATTTATAAGACACTTTTCATCAGATTTGCTTCAGATTTGCATCAGCTTGAAAACCTTCAAACACAGAGGAAAAACAAATGTTAGCACACATGCAAACAAAATCACAAACATTTTGTATGCCTCATTGCATTATTTCTAATAATAATAATAATAATAATTCACTCACATTCCATTTTCAGGGTCTTATAATTCAAATTATAAATTGTGAGTTATTTTACAAAACATCATTAACTTAAATGAATTAATAAGAAAGTCTCTTTCTCTACTTGAAACCAAGCAAACCAGAAAACCTCACTGAACACCATCTGCGCTGTCTAAAAATATACACTAAACAAAACGTAGCGCACACAAACAGTAAAAGCCGTCGATTGCGCAACAGCACTCACACAATAAGGCAACAGATCAAGAACGCAAAACGTAATAAACAGCGGAAAAACATATCAATGGACACATACTGATACCTTACAACAATAGCCACTTTCACACCAAGTACTTAGCTGGTACTTGTCCCCGGTACTTGTCCCCCCCGAACTTTAGTCCCTCGAACTGTCCTAGCAGATCGCGTTCTCACCGGAACAAGTCCCTGAGGGAGGATTAGGCAAATGAAGCCGTTGACGTCACTTCTTCTTCTTCTGCTTTGGGATCACAAAACCTTTCAGAGTTTTACGGGGCGTGGTTTGCAATTCGCCCAGCCAATCAGAAATGGTTAGTGTGG